GTGATAATATAATTGAAGAGAAAAGTTACACTGTGTATTGTAGCATACATTCAACTCAATTAGAATTCCCAAAAAAGGTGCTTCCCTTTTTCGTCCATGCTGTTACAGTTAACCTTGTTAAGTTTCAAAGATCAGATATTTATGGAGAACAATATCCATCACCAGTCTTAACGATAGATTGCATTATTAGGAAAATGACAGCAAAATCAAAGCATTCAAAGATTTAAAGCATGTGGTGATAGATGTATTATTGAAATTTTACATTGTTCTCACTTTAATGTTTGCTTTTAGAATTCTTTGGAATGATCACCAAACAACCCATTTTTTCACAGAAGCTACAATGAACAAAGCAGCAGAACCTAAGTAAATTTATTTTCTACCTGGAGTTCAAATATGCTATCCTAATAAGAGAATTCATTCTATTTTTTACAAGAAGAATACAAGTAAAATTGTAAGAAAAGAGGGTTCCTATTTTTTTCTCCAGCAGTACTGCATATATAAAATTATTTTTAAGCATCAAGGAAGAAATAGCATATAAGGAGTGAGAAAAAAGCAACTGACATGTCCATCTACAGAGTAGACTAAGCAGTCCTTGCACAGTTTCAGAAATGAGTTTAATGAGCCATTGCTTTTTGCAAAGAAAACTTGCAAATAGCTTTATGTAGGAAATTGTTTAATGAATGCTTACTTTAAAAATGGAGTTCAATAAAAAATACAAGACTATCACAAACATGAATGATAGACCAATATGAAATAGGTAAGAAAATGGGAATTGCTTAGTACTGCCTTTTACTGATGAGTTACTGAAACTGGGTAGGATTATAGGATTGGTTTTCAAAGATCAATTAATTTCTAGGAGCAGATGTATTCTGACAATCATATTTCTGTCCCACTTGGAACTAGTAATCATTCAATAAGCATAGATATTATGCATAGACAGTAAAGAGTGAATGCTTTATTGCCAGGTGAGTCTTTGTTCATTTTCCCAACTGTTTGGAAGAACAAGGATTTTGATTTCCTACACAGCCCAGAAGAGAAGAACTAAGTGACAATGTTTGATCACGCACAAGTAGAATACATAAATTACAGAATGATATTCAGTACGAGATTAACAAGTGATATTTTGCATTGTCCTTTCAGAGATATTTCCTTACCTGAACAGAGAAACAGAATGATCTAGCAGACTGCTTTTATCTGGTTTTAAAATTCAAGAAGAAAACACCATTTTATTAAAGAAGAGAAATGTGTAGGAAGACAAAGATGCTTTTCATTTAACAAAGTATACTTTTGATGAAACATGTGGTTGGTCTGCCACAAATCTAACATTTTCACTTGTTTTTCCTCAGCTTAAAGCAACATTCAGGTTGGACAAGTGTTGGAATACTAGTTTCTCCAAATAAAGCAGCACATTTTCTAAGCTTTGTCCTTGTCATTTGGAAGAGGCAGTTCTATTGTTCAATGTTATTCCTGAACTCATTTGCAATAGGTTCATTGCTGATGAATTGATAAATTGAGGAGCACCTTAGGTAGAAGTTGCAAATTGCCTATCTTGACCTTTTCCTTCATACAGCTGAAACTGGTAATTTCTCCAGGGAATAGGAACACATGATAGTGGGGTAAGTTTTGGCCAGGGCACCAACATCAACATAATATTACATTATGCAAATCTGGAAGGTTTTGTTAATGAAGTTGGGTATTGTTATATTGAGGTACTTTGCTACATATTCTTGAGTTGACCATCTCTTTCCTCCTGTATCTTGTCTCCTTATTTTTTGATTCTGAAAATGTGCAGTCCTTTCATCCTTTTCTTCATCTCTACTCTTCTTGGCCGCATCTCAATGTTTAATGTCTCTTTTTTTAAATCAAGATTTTATTGGATTTCTTTTGTATACATATGTTAATTTTTTCAATCAACGAGTTGTCTGGGATTAGCTATGCTAATACATATTCAATAATCCTTCATTCTTTCCTCTAACCAACGGTAAAATAAATCCCAAATTTGGTAATAGTCTGTGTCTTCTTTGTCTTTCAATCTCATAGTTAATCTGTCCATCTCTGTCCATTCCAATATTTTCCCGATTATTTCTTCTTCTGATGGCAATTCTTCATTCTTCCAATGTTGTGCAAAGATTATTCTCGCTGCTGCAGTGATGTGTAAAATTAAGTATAAATTCTGCTTATTAATCTTTTCAGGCATTATGCCTAGTAAAAAAAGTTCAGGTTTAAAATCAACATGTTCACCTAGTATTTTTTTTTCTAACCACGTATGTATCTTTCTCCAGTAAACCTTAGCTTTACCACATGTTCACCAAATGTGATAATACATGCCTATATTATGTTTACATTTCCAGCATCTATCTGACATATTTTTAAACATTTTTGCTAATCTTGCTGGCAGTAAGTGCTATCTATAAAACATTTTATCCAGGTTTTCTTTATATGAGGTTGACATTGTTAATTTGTAGTTTCTCTCCCATAGCATTTGCCACTTTTCTAATTCTATATTATAGCCAAAGTTTATCATTGTTTCTTTAACTTGTTCACTTTCCATTTCCAAAATTAACAAAAAATTATACATTTTCTTAATTAATTTCTCATCTGAAATGAACAAAATCTTATTGAACACAGTTTGATCTTTATAAAATCCATACATTTTCACATCTTTTTTATATCTATTTTGTATCTGTAAATATGCCCACCATGACAGGTTGATCCCCTGATTTTCCACTTCTTGTTTAGATTTTAAATTCCCATCAATATTTAGAATATCTCTATATGCCCATATTTTTTCAAAGTCTACCAAGTTCGGGTGTACAAATGCCTCCATCGTTGATAACCACCCTGGAATTTTTAAATATATATTAGCTTTAATTTTTTCCCATACTGTTAACAAGGCATTTCTTATAAAGTGATTTTGAAAATACTTATGGACTCTATTTTTTCCATACCATAAAAAAGTGTGCCACCTCAATTGTAGGTCATGTCCCTCTAAATACAACAACCTTTTGTTTCTAAGCATTATCCATTCTTTCACCCATGTTAAAACAGAAGCTTGATAATACAACGCCCATTCCAGCAGCCCAAATCCTCTATTTTCCTTAGCATCTTGTAATGTTTTCATCTTAATTCTAGCTTTCTTTCCCTGCCAAATAAAGTTCAAAATTAATGAATTTAAATCTTGAAAAAAAATTTCTCAAGTTTTATCAGAATTGTTTGAAATAAAAATAAAATCTTCGGCAGTACATTCATTTTTACTGTAGCAATTTTTCCGAGTATTGACAACTGCAGATTTTTCCATCTTTCCAAGTCTAGCTTTATTTGTTTCAATAATTTTGTATAATTATCTTCTTTTATTGACGAAAATTTGACCGAAAGATGGATACCTAAGTATTTAAATTTTTTCACTATCTGTACCTCTATTTTCTCTAGCATTTGCCCTTTCTGTTTATCTGTGAGATTCTTAACTATTACCTTAGTTTTTTCTTTATTTATTTTTAATCCCACCATTTCTCCATACTCTTCTATCTTTCCCCATAGCTTAGGGATCGTCTCTAAAGGTTCTTCCAAAATAAATACTAAATCAATAGCAAATGCTTGTAACTTATATGTTTCGTCTTTTATCTTCAAATCTTTGATTTCTGTGTCCTGTCTAATCCTTCTATTTAAAACTTCCAAAGTAAAGATAAATAATAATGGGGATAATGGACACCCTTGCCTCGTGCCTTTTCTTATCTCAAAGTTCTCAGTATAGTCTCCATTCACCATCACTTTTGCTATCTGATTGCTATATATTGTTTTTATCATATTTGAAAATTATTTCCAAAGATTATTATTTGTAGTTGCTGAATCATAAATTGCCAAGAAACATTATCAAATGCCTTTTGAGCATCTAAAAATATTAATGCTAATTGTTTCCTTGGATGTAGTTCATAGTATTCTAATATGTCCATTATCTTAAACTGTTTTTAATTTGTCTCTGGTAAAAAGCCGTTTTGATCTGGATGTCAATGTTTAATGTCTCTTTTCACATGGTACAATTATGCTGACAATATTTTATTTTAATTTATTTTACCACAAAGTTGTATGTTGTCATTCTCACCTCAGAACAGTTTAGAATTCTCTCCCCCTCCTCCATTTTTCCATTGAATTGTTGAAAGCCATCAGAAACAATTTAAAAATACATATAACTTCCTATGAACTAGAGTGGGACTAATCTACTTGATCTCCAACAGCTGAAGTGGGGGGAGGGGAACTGATCTACATTCAATTTCAGAATGGAAGCATTTGAGAAATGGATTAATGTATTCACTTGACATCAGAAAGATTCAGTTTCTACTCCATTTGCAGTCACAGTAGCCTATTTGGTAACTTTCAGCCCAACCTACTTCACAGTATTATTGTACAGAAATATAGGAGAATGGAACACTGTTCCACTGTTATGTCCTGAGTTCCTGAACAAAGATGGCATATAGATACATTTGCATATTGTGTACCACAGAAGGGGCACATAAGCAATACAAGTATCCAGATCTTTCTTCAGGCATCTTACAGTTGTTGCTTCTTTAAGAACCACACTGAGTCAATTTCTTGCTGCTGCGTAGGGAAAAGAGCAATGGAATGCAGGATTGGGTGGGAAACTGTCACCAAACATTGAACATGACCACATGATTGCAGCACAGCAGCAGTCAGTAGTACTATGGTAGCTACAACTTTCCCAGATTTCATTCCCTCATGAGTCATATGATGCATCATTTCACCCAAGTAAATGTCATGACAGTTTTAGTAGTTTTAAAAGTATGTGGATTCAATTCTGATCACTCTTCAGAAGCCTTAGAGTTTCACCAGCAGAAACAAGAAGAGATATCTTCTTGGCAGCTAATGATTTCTTTTGTTTCTGCTTTCTCTGTATCATATTTTTATTTGCCATTATGTTACAGAATGAACACACTCAGGAAGATTTACATGCCAAAATGTGTATAGACAAGAGTTGCTAGTATTACCTGCAAGCTGCTTTTTTCTATTTTCTGTTGAAGTATCTGAAGGCACTTGGTGAAATCTGTTAAGTCTTGATCTGGTGTCTGTATGAGCTCACATCCCTATAGAAAGGGAAATTTTTAAAAAAGGAAAAATCTATATTACTTTAGAATGAAGCAGAGTTGTTTATATTGCTTTACTAAATTATGTGCCATCTATTGAAACACAGCTGAAACTGGTTCCTAGAACTGCTGATACAGAAAATCCAATATTATCTAGAGCAGTCTTTTTTATATGATATCATCCACCTTTGAAGATTATTTAGAAATTACATTTATATCAGACTGTGTACAAGACAGATGGGTCTTATTAAAAGTATAATCTTTAGGATATCCCCCAAAATAGTAATAGTAATAGTAGTAAAGTTGGAAGGGACCTTGGAGGTCATCTAGTCCAACCCCCTGCTCGGGCAGGAAACCCTACACCATTTCGGACAAATGGCTGTCCAGTCTCTTCTTAAAAACTTCCAGTGTTGGAGCATTTACTGCTTCTAGAGGCAAGCTGTTCCACTGATTAATTGTTCTCACTGTCAGGAAGTTTCTCCTTAGTTCTAGGTTGCTTCTCTCCTTGATTAGTTTCCACCCGTTGCTTCTTGTTCTGCCTTCAGGTGCTGTGGTGGAGCTTTTTTTCTCCCTGCTGACAAACAACTGATTTTGCTGCCAAAGCCAGTTCTTTGGCAGTGCACTGCCAGATTGAACAGCAGTAACTAGGAATGGCCCACAACAACCCTTGGATGATGGTGTAGTTGCCTGGAAAGAGAAATCTATGATCATTGCAACTCTCAGTAATAGTAGCTGGAGAATTGGGTCTCTATCTTTTCTAGAATCTGTTTGTATTTTTAGATGTGCCTGCTTTTTGAAGCTTATAATCTATGGGTGTTGGGCTTTATGCATAGTAAGGCGCTTCCAGGTACTCACATCATCAGCTTTTAAATCTTCCTTGGGCCAGCTCACTGTACATCCAGGTATCTGATGACTGGCAGAGAATACGTGTTGATGTTATGGATCCTGTTTTTCCTATTGATCTAGCTCTTTAAGGCCTGTCTTATCCTTTATTGGTACTTGGATGTTGTCTTCCTTGCCTCCATATTGTGGTTCTTATGTGATTCTGGCATACTAAAGTATTTGTACCTGGTCTGTATATCTGCTATGTGGCCCATGAGCAGTTTACACAGCCATCAGTCTTAACCACTTCCCTTCTCTTTAATACTATCCAGCCACATGTTTCTGGTTCAAATAACACCCCAGTGTCCTCACTGTAGATGTACTGTCAGGTGCATCACCAAATTGATGTCTCATTCACTCTTAGCATACATTAATGTAAGCCATGTAGAGGAGGTGGCTGATAGTGATTCCATCCTTGAACTTAAATCTGTATCTAGCCTTTGTGGTTATCTGGCTGAAGAGGTTCAAGACTATGAAGGACAGCAGTGGGGATAGTGCATCATCTTAATAATATACTGTGCTTGATAGTTACTTGTGTAAATTGTCTTAAATTAACTTCCAGTGTTGTCTTCCACAGTCTTAATGAGTTAAGGAACATCCTTAATGGCCTATTTATTTTATATAGCACTGAGTATTCACAGAATCCTGTGTGTGGTCTTGAGTCATAGGCTTTTATGTAGTCAATCTAAGCTATCTAAATCTTGAATCTTGGAATATATGCAGATATACAAACATTTCTTTTCTTTTTATGACCCTTTAATCCCTTTTATCAGAGTGGAGTCAGGGAGACTAAATGGAGCTGAGTGTTTACTGGCCAGATGCCCTTCCTGACACCTACACAAGTTCACAGCAGATATTTTCTTTTTGCGCCCTGACAGAGAAACATCTGTCACTGCCTAGGATTGAACTCTTAACTTTGAGTGGGAGGCAAGGCTCTTCACTGCACCATTCACAAACCCATACACAAACAATAATATGCAAATACATACTAAGATGTATTTAGAAATAACATAGACAGCATAAAGTAACTTAGACATTGCTTCCTATAAAGTAAAATGTATGCCACAATCTGCCAGATTCAATCTGTACTTGACCATCTCGCTATATATGATTGACAATGTTTTGCATCTTGGTTCACAAGATGCACAGATGTATCATAAACTTAATGAAGCCAAATGCTGAAAACAAAAGGTCATGAAAGAGTTAAGAGATATCAGATTGTTTGTGTTAATTTTCTGAAAATAAACACTATAACTCTAAAGATATTTTAGAAATTATTGGCATTTGTGGTTGTCTGTCTATCTATTTCTATCTATCTAATATATTATCTATCTATATATAGATATACAATAGATAAATATAAATATATAATCCCTCAGGGAGGGATCCCTGAAGGGCTTTTCTCTGGGCTGTAGCTCTTCAGCTTTTTTTCTGAAGGGACTGGCATTCCTTCAGTTTTTATGACCCACCTGGACCCCGGGTGTGTGTGTGTGTAAGAATTTACCCATAAGACTCTCTGAAACACCTGAAAGCTTTCAAGCGACTTCTAGGCTCTGAACCTATCTGCATGCAAAAACTGGGGAGGAGGAGCTGCAATCTGTTTGTGGTTGAAGAAGCCACCTTCTTGAAATTTACTTTTCAAATGGACAATAAGTCATGCCTTTCATTTCTTAATCACCTTCTGGACTATTAATCTTTCTTAAGTCAAGATAAAAGAGGCTCTCTTTAGCTACAGCCTGCTACTCCTTTTTGAAAGATATGCACCATTTCAGGGATTTCTTTAGTATTAAATAACAACAAAGAAGGCTGCTAAGACAAGCCAAAATAAGGAAAAGAAAAAAAAAAACTGATGGAGAAACATAAAGAAACAAAGTTTGAAAGCTGTGATTTTAGTTTATTATTGTAACAACTTGTAGCTTGGTCTTCTTTGCCATGGGTGGTTAAAATGTTTGGATCCTGACCAAAGAGGGAGCCAAGATGGAGGAACAAATTACTAGAGATATATTTGAAATGTGTCTAATTAAAATGTGCCAATTTATTGACCAGCTGTGTTCCAAGGATGATAGAAAAACCTCTCAAATTACTCAAGAGATGCAAGCATGTCCAGAAAGTTACCAAATTACAGAGACAATTTCACAAGCAGCTGAAAATGAAAAATAATTTATTGCAAATTTGAAATACAAGCTCAACATTAACATTTATTATGATGGTTTAAATATAAATCTCTCAACACAACTTAAAGAAGAGTGTCAAGAAAATCAGCAACTTTTAAAAAGACAAACTTGAGACTTTTTCTTTAAGGAGATTAACAAGATTGAGAAATCTGTGATAAAAAGGGAGGCTTATAATTATTTGATAATCTTTCCAGAGAAGAAGAGGATTGTACTCTATGAAGTAGTAGTACCATAAATTTGGAATAGTACCATAAATTTATATATCAATGGAAAGATAATTTAATCAAGAATGTAATGCAACATAGTTTGTTCAATTATCTGTACTGTATTCTATGAAAAGCTATAGCCAAGTAACCAGAAAAAAGAAGTACAACTTGCTTAGGTTGATATCAGGTAGCTTTCCTTCATCTGATTGTAACCAATGAACATGAGTGTTTAGAGAGCCAATCAGATGTCATCTTGTTTTGTCAATGAGCCAATCAGATCACAGTAGGATTCAGTTATTGATGTCATATATTGAAGCTGAGAGGAGGACATTTGTCAGTGTGTTATGTGATCACTATCAAGTTGGTTGGGCTTCTTTTTTTTTTTTTTTTCATTTAGTGAGCTTGTAAAATGTAATAAAATTAAAGTAATGGTGCAAAGAGTTGACTGGCTGCCCAGAAAGCAATGTAAAATAGTATTATTAAGTGGCTACAGTTATAAAGAAATTGGAAGAAAAATTGGTGGAAACTTAACAAAGGTGGCATTTCTACTATACACTTTTCCCAAAAGATTTCCACAATTTTGGCCACTACTGTATAAGGATAGTTTGGAAGATGGGAACTAAATTCAATACTGAAGTTCAAAGCCTGTATGTTAAGAAAAAGATTTATCAGAAAGTTTCGATTCTAGAAAAGTATTTAAAGACAGTTTAGCTATTTTAAAAAAAGGTGGAAAAGAAAAAAAAAAGAATATTTATCCCAGTAAGGTCGAAGAATTTGAAAGTATATAATTAACTTTGTTAATAAAAATGGTGACAGTTTACAAAGATAAATAGATAAATAAACAGTTTGCAAATAGAAATATATACTATTTCCACAGCAAGGAAGATAAACCAGGAATGGTTAAATTGATCATCCTATTCAAAGAGGAGAATATATTTGAGTATGTTTTTCATTTGGATATTACTTCTGGATTTTGTGCTTGTGATGAAAAAAAATGAAACTTTGACTTTGATTTTGTCGATTAGATAAATTCGTTATTATAGAAATGGGTAGTTATATATTAATGTGTAAAAACAAAAAGAGTGCTAAAAAGAGTCGGAGGTCAGCGCTTTTTTTTTCTTTTTCCCTTGTACCTCACATCTTCTTTTCCCCTTTCCTTTTCCTTCTCTTAATTTTCTATTTCTATTTTTCTTTGTATTTTATAGATAAATAAAATTAAAACGTTGAATGACATTATATCCCATAATTCAACATTTTCTAATCTTGTTCTTCTAAAAATAAAAATTGAATTGTAAAAGTAAATAAGATTTGACGATCATTTCAAAGTGATGATTAGCTTACAAAATTGCTATCCGAATGCAAAATAATGTATATTTTAATGTCCTACCTGAAGAGACATAATTATTGTAATAATAAGAATCCTCAGCCACCAGACCTTTCTAAATGATTTAATAAACGTGAAAAAATATATTCAATATAAAATTAAACAGTCTGAAAACTCTTCATACGAGGGTAAAATGAAAAGAATGCCTCCATTATTCTAAGTCACCATCATACGATAATACTGATGTTTTAGGAACTCAGCTGTATTCTTTAGGATTGATTGATTGATTATGTTTCTATGCTGCCCATTTCCCCTACAAGGTAATTATTGTTGGTAAAATTGAAATTTTAAGGAGGTATTAATTAAGCCATGCGCTTTGACCAAATTTTAGACTATTGAAAGAGTCCCTCTAAT